AATGTTTTTGGGGCTCTTCGTATTTTAAGTATAGCATAAAAAGCGTCAATTATTTTGAATTGAGCTAGTGGTAAATTTTGAAGAACGCACTTCATTCTACAAAACAAGACGCTTTCCAGCATTCTCCAATATTCTTTCCGAATATTATAGGATAGACGAAAAAAGAAAAAACGGTAACGCACAGAGATTCCAGTAGCAGAGTTACGCGTTTTGCATGTAATGTTTCTAACGCCTAAAGTAAATGTGTTGTATTGATGAGTCATCTTGATGTCGAATAGCTGTATGCATAAAAACATGCACGCTTTTCTTGTAATAAAAAAAGGAAAAATAGGGACTTTACCGCGGATTATGAATCACGTTTGGATTTGAGCATAATGATGAGATTATGTTTGTGATTGTAAGGTAACCAAATGACTAAGCGATTTCATTTGTACATTTGATTGCCTTGCTCGAGTTTTTCTGAATATTTTTTCATTTCGAACTGTTACATTTTTCGGGTTTCAATTTCTTTTTGATTTCAGCAATAATTTTAGATTTACTGTTGTAAGATCCTTCGTCAAGAATAAGTGACTGTCTACGACTGAACCGCCGGATAGATAGGAGTCTCGGACATACCTTAGACAGAATCTGACGATTATTTACCGGGGTTTATCATTCCTTGAATATCCCGTTCGATGACATACGGACACATCATATTCGGTAACATCCACGCTCATAATATGCGCTAATTCCATAATAATATGAAGTACATTTTCATTCTTCTTTTCTGGATATCTGTGTATACTGATGCTCTCCCATCGACTATATTGTTCGGTTTGATTCTGTCGTCCATAGAGATCAGCAACATTATCACGTAATTTTTTCAACTGTTCAATTTCAGATCTTAATTGTTTGAGATCGGTAACAGATTTTAATGAATCATTTATAATATTGAAGTTCTAATTCTGTATATTATCGATTTAATTAAGTTGTTGAATTTCGTATCACCATCGCAGTATCAAGATCACCAATACAGTTTTACCGACGATATATGACAAAATGTATCAGCACAATCTTGTACTAAAATTTGTTACTTAATGCAGTATATTATCTAAATGCGATTGTACTTTAAATAATTAAAAATATTTCATCGCTGACAGTGTCTTCCTCTGATCTGTTTACTGTTGATTACATAATACTCTGAGTTTAGATCTCTTTGGTTCCGATTAGTTTAAACTATTTTATTAATCATGGAAATAAAAATAAATGAAAAGCCAGGTAGCGCTGGAATCGGCTAAAACCATTGCATCAGTAGTATTTCGTTACTGTTTAACTAAGTAACATTAAATACAGTACTCTGCAAAAGTAGCGGGCCCCTTGTAACTCAAGAACCATGATAGCTAGGGGCTTCTAATTTTGTGTGGTCATAGCTCTTGCCGAATTCTGATCACCCATCAAGTTTGGACCTCTTTTACTAGATGGTTCGTGAGATATAAGCGATTCATCTCTTTTTCGTAAAATATCAATAGCTCCTGACCTAAGAGAGATTAAAACTTTTTCTTTTTACTAAAATGTAGCCATGACTCTTCTTTATCTACAATATAATCTTTTATGAGTTGACTATTAGTGGTCAGTGAAATACAGCTATTTCACGGGCAAGAATCCCGAAAATGAGGTACTGAGATATGAGGTCCTTTCCAGGAAAAATTCATAACTCATTCTAGAAACATTAGTTCCACCTCAAACTCACAGCAAATACTTCTCGACGACTGTCGACTATCCAGTCAAAGTATGAAGGTTAACTATTGCGTGGTTCTGAAAATTCATTGAGAATAAGCCCTCATGATTGAAACATACGTAGAAGAGCGAGGGTGAGGAACTAAGGGTCGCTCTTTCTACTATAGAATCTGTATTCAATGTATATTATAATTATAAAAAAATAACCATAGAAACCTATGGTTAAAAATAACGTAGGTGAAACTTTTGTCAGAAAAATTACGCACTTACCTCAAACCTTCGCATTTCACTTATTTTGCGTCCTTTTCACTTCCTTTCTTTTTTCAAGCAAAACTAATAACATATTTGAGATCAGTAGACAAAACTGAGTAGAACAGCATACTTAACATTTGGTTTTCGAACAAAAACATTGCGTTGAAAATTTTCTCCTTAGGTTAATGGTGAGTGCGTAATCTTTCTAACAAAAGTTTCACCTGCGTTTTTCTTAACCGTAGGTTTCTATAATTATTTTTTTATAATAATAAGATAACATCGGGGAACACTTTCTTTATTTCTTCCAGGCAAAATACTTTCTTGTATCATTTTGCATAGGATACAACAAGTGCCTGATCCAAGGTTACAGAAGACACTATTCCATGAATTCCAAAATACTTAGAATGTGAGAAGCTCAGAATTTCATAAATTTGCAGTAACTCTATTTCATGAATTCCAAAACGTTTACAACTTCAGAATCTCAGAAGTCTGCAGTCACAGTATTTCAACGAATCCAAAGCATCTAGAATATCAGCATCTCAGAATCTCAGAAGTTTAGAGCAACAGTATTGCATAAGTTCCAAAATATCTGAAATATCAGAATCTCAAAATCTCACAAGTTTGGAGTAACACCATTCGATTGATTCCAAAATATTTAGAATATTAGAATAGTTTTAGTCCAAACCTTTGAGATTCTAATATTCTAAATATTTGGGAATTCATGGAATAGTGTTGCTGCAAGTCTCTCAAATCCTGAAATTCTAGACATGTTGGAATTCAGTTTATCAAAATACTTTATGTTTCGTTATTGTACACGACAAGAATAAAATTCATTTTTTGAAAATGCGAGTTGAAGGAGGAGAACTGCATGTAGATATGTATTATACAGTTTCTAATTCGCCTTTAACGACTGTTGAAATATTCAATCAAGTTCAATCAAGTTGACAAAAATTGATACGCTTTACTTGTTGTTGTACGTAACAGTAAGCCTACCCATAGGTGATTGACAAATATTCACAAATGTTGATGATATCGAAAGATACCTGAAACATTTTTTAGTCAAGTTTACTGCTTGGAAAAGCTTCGTTGTATGACGCATTTAGTTGTCCATTTTATCAAAATATTTTATTTTTCGTTATTCTTTTAGTGATGTCGATCAGATATTTTATATTAATGCTTCAGGTGTCCTTCGATGTTATCAATATTTGTGAATATTTGTCAATCATTCATGGTAGGTTCACTATTATTTACAACAATAAGTGATGCGTATCAATTTTCGTCAACTTTACTGGTTGAAGATTGCTATATAATGTATATCTATAATATATATCTAGATATGCTAATTAATATATGTCCACATGCACTTATCTTCCTTCAACTCGCATTTTCAAAAAATGAATTTTATTCTTGTCGTCTTTCTGCTTTTTGTTTCAACATGTTACGGGGCTATTGATAATTCATGTTTGGCCTGTATATGTCAAGTTGAAACTCGGTGTCAACAAGCACCTCCTAAATGGGACGTTGATGATTTTTCCGCTGGATATTATCAGATAAAACCAGATTATTATACTGACTGTGGAAAACCTGGTAATAGTTGGCTAATATGCGTAAATGTTAAATCATGTGCTGATACATGTGTTCGAAATTATATGAGTCGTTATGGAACTTATTGTACTGGTGGTCGTACTCCGACATGCCAAGATTATGCTCGTATTCATAATGGAGGCCCGACAGGATGCAGAAATCCGGCAACGCTGGGTTACTGGCAAAAAGTTCAACAATGTCTCAATGCTAACGGCTGAAGGCCCTCAGCAAAGAGAGACAATAATAAAATAATAACAATAAAGAGATAACATGTAAACACATACAGTTATACAGTCACACACTTCGATTCGTTACCGTCCTACCGTCAAAATCTATTATTTTACCATCGAGCAGTTCCCTTAGTACTTTTTTCTTTATTTAAATGTTTCGCTTGTTTTGCCACCCTTCTTCTTATTTTTAAAGAACACATTTTTTTCGTCTAAAAATCGAAATTTTATAATTCGACTAAAATTAATAGCAATGATAATGATTTTAGTAAAATTCTTCGAAATGTGAATAGTCCAAATTCAAAAATTGGTCTTCAAAATCTATGTGAGTTAGACACAGAATAACATATATCTACATAGCTGTTCTCTTCATTTATACTTGTCTAACTAAATTTATCTTATTTTTTCGAGTTATTTGCTCTAGGCTTTTAGAGCATAAGATATAAGATCATTGAAAACAAAGTATGACACTGGAGAAGGTTCCCTCGTTAGCAGTTTGAATCTTTAGAAAATATGATGTTTCTCTCATAAGTACCGATCTCAGAATCGGCAGACTCGATTGAGGAGTACGACGTTATGATCTTATCAATGCGCGCAAGTTGTTTGGGTCGAAGAGCCCTATCATTAACATCATAACGGCGAAGTTAACTAATAGATAATGAAAAAAGTTTTTATATCTTGTATTCTTGAGTAGTTTAGTACGGTTTCTACATATCAACCGACTGTAAAAGGCAACCGAAGAAGCCGATGGTTTTCTTTTACAGCTGACATCATCAAATTGATCATCGATGAAAGTAGAACTTGATCACATTAAGTTATTTAAGTTTTTTTTCCACTACAGGAATATTCCTGCCGGTCGTCTGTCATAATTCCTTTATCACACTATATCGGTTGCTTAGTCATTCATTACTGAATAAAATTTTAGCTTAACATCTTTTCTATGAACGTTGTTCTGTTCTTGCTGTTGTTATATTTTCTTCTTTTGATCTTGTTTCCTGTGCTTGAAGATTGTTTCTAAAAGGAGATACCGCTTAGTATATACTGTAAAGTAGAAAATAAATTATAGAAAGTGAAAGACCATTTTCAAAGAGTACATAGAGTCGAGTGGGGTAATTATGCGCAGGTTATTAAAATTTTCGTCGTATTTCTGGCATAGTTTGCTCAATTTTCACCGGGAAAAGCGATATTTACCGCTTATGTAGATCTGACTATTTCCGATCGAGTGGTGTAAACCTCATTTTTCCGAAACCTCTTTAGTATTCATAAATGCTTATGAACTTCCTGTGATCACCTTTCGATTGAACATTATGATGGTCAGTCAACGTGTACCGCTAGAGTAAATATGGTCGATATAGCAAAACCGGCTGATAAACTTAAGAGACGATTCGCGAGGAAAGCGAGTATTTTGCGAAACACGCATAACATGCAAAAATTTGACATATGATTTTTAATTTGAATTTTCTATCTGATGTCACCTTTATATTTCTAGGGAAATTCTGTTTGGATATCCAAAACCGGGTTTTGGTAGAAAAAATTTGTATATGAAAATCATAATCCTTCACTTGATGAACCGCTTGCAACATCAGCATTGAGTTTAGAAAAAGAGAAGGCACCTGATTCTGTTTAGTTTTTGATGGTCTTTCGAATGAGACATTGCTCGATCAGAACGGATAAAGAATGACGAAGTTATATCGAAAATATGAGACAGTGCACATTTTTGCGATTCTTCGATGCACCTCATTTTGAAAACTCTATAACTCGGTCAAAATAAAGTCTGGAAGTGAGCAATTTTTTTCATCACCCCGGTTCTGATTGTAGAAATCTGAAAATCAAATAAAAATCATATGTCAAATTTTTGCATTTTAGGCACTTTCTCGATGGGCCGGCGAATCCTGTCTTAAGCAACTTAGTTTCAGTGGGAAATTATGGTTAGTATATCATTCGATTCAGTTTCTTAGCGCTGATTTCGAATATAATTCTTTCATTGCAGTATATCCCGCGAAGAGAAGTCGATTGGATAATGTAAAATCGGTGCACATATGGAAAGATGTTTAAACAATTTTATTAGCCTGCTTTTTAGTAATCGTGATGCCGGGCGTTAATTCGCTAGATATCACTGGAAGAATAACGAAAAATAAAGTATTTTGATAAAATGGACAACTAAAAGCATCATACAACAAAGCTTCTTCACCTCTCGGATACTTTTTATTTTGTTCGTTATTTTTGGTTTGTGTGTTATTGATTGGGTGTCTTATTCTGGTCTTAGTAATACTTAGGCTTGAGTTATATGTCCATACCATTAGTATTGAAGCGATTTTCAAATTACGCAATCAAAAAGAATTAACTGATAAGTGAACTGTTATCAGTGAAAAAAGTATTTTTATATTACTTTAATCGTGTACTTTTTTGGTTTGCAAACACATTCAGTGTACAACTGCTTGTTGTCTTTGATTGAATTACGTAAATTAATTATTTACAATTTAGAAAAGGCGAAATGTATTTGTATTAATTTACCTGAACAGCGTATGTAAATATTCGATTTATAACTGATAAAAATATGTCAAGGTATTGTCTGGTGAAAGTAAATAGAGGTTTTGGCCCGAACGTTTTTCATTATGCAGAACACGTATTTTTTCTATAAATTCTTATTCACGGTTAACGCTATAAAACACTGGGCAATCCCTGTAAACGCTTTGTGCACTGTTCATACCCCGATCAGTAGTGAAATCAGCTATCTAAAAAGCAAGTAAAAGCATCTTTTGCATGCATCAACATGAATGGTGGGCATGTCGAATAAGAAATGGTAGGTGGTTTACACCCTTTTATTAGTTTGAAAAAAATGTCAAAACTCGCTTTTCTGTTGCTAAAAAACATCGTTTTAAAGATTTCTTCTTTCCCTTCAATCCTGCAAAGTTCCGATGGTTTTGTTGTGTAGAGAAAACTTGTGGCTACAACCCCACGGACTCGGGTTTTTATTTTAGTTTCAGGAGAATTTTGATATAAAATTGCCGACTTAATAAGGAAAAAGAAAATTTCAGTAGTCGAACTCTGTAGTATTGTATAGCCAAGCTCTCACTGTAAAACAAAACCATTCCGAACATTGTAGCATAAAAGGGAAATGAGAAACTTTGAAAATGGGAAGAGCCCCATTTTCTTTTTTGTTCAGCGCATAACTCCCGAACCCGCGCGACATGTAAATTCGAAATTTTTTCGTCTAAAGCCATATAATAATCACCAATTTTCTCTAATTTATCCGGATTCAGCAGCAGAAACTTAGTACGACTATGCGGGTTTGAGTGAACTTTATCACATTTCTCTCGCTCAGCAAGGTCGAGTAGAGTCGCCTCGGAACCCACTGACCCCTCGATCTGGCAAGCCTGTCTCATTCTCTGCATCAAGAGATTGTCCCATCTCTCATATATCATTCGAATTGTCAACTCACGGACAGTAAAAGTACGTGACGGTGTTGTAAAATTTTGTTCCCTCAATGAGAAAAGTCGACTTTACTGCAAAAAATCGAAATTCTGACGCTGGTTCGCAACTTTCCCCATCAGAACTCAGCTTTTACTCAATGAGAATATCATAGTCGGAATCAGCGTCGAAAATCGAGTCGAATTACTTTTTTATCCTATCCGATCACCTTAATTGTTTTTGAATTTTCACGTCGAAAATGATTACTGACGAGGGAACCGCCCAAGGTGATAAATTGCTTTTTGATCGAAATCTGGTGGGTTATGGGTGATCGACCATGCTGATTCAGAATATGACCATGGGGGCAGCCCATAGCTCTTCGAACATCCGGTCTTCTGAAAAACTGGTTTTTCAGAAACTCCATAGGATAACTTAAACCATTCTTAACAATGCAGGATTGTAGCGTGCAAATTTCTGATCAAAAGAAAACATACCCCAGCGCTACACGACCTTTCTTTGCAAAGTTATGGAAGTTATAAGAAGAGCTCTAAATTAACTTTTTCCTTCTTATTTCTGCAGCTTTGAGCTGACAATGAACAATTCAGGGCTATTCTTATGAGTTCTATAACTTTGCAAAGAAAGATCGTGTAGAGCTGGGTATGTTTCCTTTTGATCAGAAATTTGCACGCTACAATCCTGCATTGTTAAGAACCGTTTGGGTTATTCTATGGAGTTTCTGAAAAACTGGTTTTTCAGAAGACCGGATGTTCGAAGAGCTGTGGGCTGCCCCCATGGTCATATTCGGGGTCAGCATGGTCGATAAGCCATAACCCACCCGATTTCGATCAAAAAGCAATTTATCACCTCGGACGGTTCCCTCGTGAGATTTTCATCAAAAAATGGAAATCAATGAAAAATTTCAAACCATATATCATTCGACTCGATATTTCGAAAAAGTACTTCTCAGAGCTTTGATCAAACGATTAGGGTTGAATCAGATGAGCGTCACTTGTGTGAATAACGAGAAGCATGCCCCTGAAAACGAATGGGGCTGTATATTTGCGATCTAACTTTTTTGATGAACTAGCACTGGCGCATGTTCATGTCTGTGTTCGTAAATGATAACATTATTATCATAAACATTCGCTATTCTAGGATAATATGGTGGATAAAACCTTCATCGCATATGAGCACTTCGAAATAATTTACTAAATGGTCTTCCATTTAAGACGTTTATTTTGTCGATTCGTCCCTAATTACTCACTCTTACGTTTGATGTGTTCTTTGATGTTGTTTGACCTTACAAAGTCAATTAGGAACGAAAAACTTTTTAGCATCTAGCTATAGAAAAAAACGAAAAATTTCTTCCTAGCAAATATCTTAGATATATAGCTGTTAACACCAAATCATACTTTTGCATTTTTTGATAGACCGTGCCTAGATTGATATAACATGCTGCTATATTTAGATTTTCACAACCAAAATAATCTCATAAGACTTTCAATGCTCGACTATAATGATGTAAAGCCGTATCATAACCACCAATTTTTTCATAGATAATTCCAATATTATTATAACTATATTCAAAACCACAATGTTTCGCATGAAATGGTCGTTTTCATCATAGAAAAGTAATATTATTGTCTTTATGTCTGTCGGTTGATTATGCACGATACTTTGAATTATGAATATCAATGCGCATCCCTTGAAGGCGATCACCACAGAAGAGAAAGAAGGGAAAGCTAAAATTACTCTTTTTGACAAGTAATATTTATCAAAATAGAGATTAGTTTAAATTTTATTCTCACAGAATCTAATCTTAACGTAAAGAACCACTTGTTGTGCCACAAACGCTACCAAATATCCTGAGGACTTCCACGTCTGTTCTGTAGAACAATCTGGAATTTTCAAACGTTCTCGAAGAAAGCATTTGAATTACTTTTTATTTTCTGCCAATGATTATTCAACTGGAAAAAAAAACATACAAGAATCAAAACATTTTTCCAATTGACGCATGTAGTATCAAGCACAGGCTCCAACAAATATAACGATGCTGTTATCACCACTATCTACAACAGTCAGACCAGTTCTGCCATCACTATTGAAATCACCTGTTGTCAGTGAAATTGGGTACAACCCGGTTGCATATGTAGCTTGACTTTGAAATGTTCCGTCGCCCTTACCGCCGAATATACTGAGAGTGTTATCACCGGAATTTGCGACAGCCGAATCAGTTCGATTATCACCATTGAAATCACCTGTTATCACAGAATATGGATAATTATCAGTTGCATATGTGACTTGACAATAAAATTTTCCGTTGCCGTAACCGAGCAATACACTCATGTTCTTAGAACCCGCATTTGCGACAGCCAAATCAGTTGTGTTATCACCACTGACAACCCCTGTTGTCACAGAATATGGAGCATTTCCGGTTCCGTATGTCACTTGGCCCTGAAATGTTCCGTCGCCGTTACCGAGCAGTATGCTGACGGTGTTATCAGCGGAATTTGCCACAGCCAAATCAATTGTGTTATCACCATTGAAATCCCCTGTTGTCACAGCATATGGAAAAGCCCCAGCTGCATATGTGACTTGACTCTTCCGTCGCCGTTGCCAACCAGTATACTTACGGTGTTATTAGCGAAATTTGCGACAGCCAAACCAGTTCGATTATCACCATTGAAATCACCTGTTGTCACAGAATATGGAGAACACCCTGTTTCATATGTAACTTGAATTTGAAATGTTCCGTTGCCGTTACCAAGCAATATGCTGACGGTGTCGGAACCCTTATTTGCCACAGCCAAATCAGTTCGATTATCACCATTGAAATCACCTCTTGTCAGAGAATATGGATAATTCGCAGCACTATTTGTGGGTTGACTTTGAAATGTTCCATCGCCGTTACCGCGGAATATACTGACGGTGGTACCACCATAATTTGCAACAGCGAAATCAGTTCGGTTATCACCATTGAAATCCCCTGTTGTCACAGAATTTGGATCATTCCCAGTTTCATATGTTACTTGACCCTGAAATGTTCCGTTGCCGTTACCAAGCAATATGCTGACGGTGTCGGAAC